CGTCCATTGATTGTGCACAAAGGATGAACGTCGCCTTTCCACACTTCGTGTCAGATGAGCACGCAGAACAGACGAACGTCCCGCGCGTGGTTTGAATGTTCATATCACGCGACAACGGGCGGACATCGTTATCAAGTGCTGGTGCTGAGGAATACGTTCCTATGCTTACACTTCGAGCATGCACCATAAACCGCCGACGAACGTCGCTCCATTGACGGAACGCGTTGAATACGTACGGAGGATTGACTTCGGGACGCTTTTGCCTGGAAGCAAGTAGAGGACGGATACGAACGTCCTCTCGAACTCTGACCGCCGAAGGGAGTTACATACAACGGAGGACAAAGGGAAGGAAAATAACAAGTAGAAATCATGAACATGGAACAACTATGGGCAAAAGGGCGTCTGTATTCTTCGGCTCTGACGGCCGGACATTACAAAAGTTAGAACGGAAAAGTACAAATTACATTATACAAAGAAAGGTGATTCCGGTCGGCTGCCACCCTGGTTCAGCTCCTCCTCCTCTTCCTCGGGCTCGGGGGACGGGGGTTCCGGAATTTCCCCTCTAGCCTTGGCTTCCTCCCGCCGCTGGTCCCTCGCCAGTTTCCCTAGAGCCTGGAGCAGCAGATCGTCGTCTGTATTCGCTGCCAGCTCGAAGTCGGCCCCTTGCAGCCTCGAAAAGATGGGGAGGGTGGCCTTAACCCCTTCGTTATACCCGGCTGAGAAGGTGCTGTCACCGACCTCGTACAGGAACTTGCGGGACAGAGGAGAACCCTCAAGCAGCCGGACGCCGCGGGCCAGACGCTGGCGGGGCGGTATCTTCTCCAGAGCCGCGGCAAACAAGTCGGCGAAGACTCCGGCACAATAATCTTTGGCAGAGTCCATGAACTCCCCAGTGTTCCGGTAGCCGGAGGTATCAACCAGCCACTCCGGACTCGCATCCTTCGCGACAGGGTGCACCGGGACAAGCTTGAAGCCAGCTTTCTCAAGGCTGACTAGCTGCTGGCGGGATTCTGCCCGCAGGGCGGCGATCTCCTTCCCCTTAGCCGTAGCCTCTGCTTCAGCTCGGCGAGCGGCCTCTCGAGCCGCAGCGATGGCCGCATCGGCTTTAGCTTTGGCCTCCTTCAGATCGGCCTCCCTGGCAGCTTCAGCCTGAAGGACTAGAAGCCCAGACTGGATGACAGAAGGAAAAATAAGGATCAGGGGATGAACGTCAAGGAAAAAAATATATATACTCAGATCTAGCAAGAGGGGATTACCTGAAGAGCGGCTGCCAGGGCAGCACTTGTCGCCTCCGAAGACGAACGGCTGGGCAGCTCTAGGCCAGCCTTGAGGGCCATTTCCCTCCAAAGCTCTTCCGCCGGGCGGCTCAACGGCAAGGAGCCGGCGTCTTCAAGCAGGGGCCCGGCGGAGACAGCCTCGCGGCCCCTCTTTTGTTTCTTTTCGGGGACCTTCTCCGTCCCCTTTTGAGGAGCCGCCTTCAACGGGACGACCGGCGGTGGAGGGGCGGCTTCAAGAGCAGGGGCCCCGGAACCCTGAGCCAGCATAGTGGCAATCAGATGCTGCTCACCCTCGGCGGTTCGCCGGGCAGCGTCAGAAACCGAGGAGTTGGACGCCGAGGCGGGGGCATTCTTGGCCTTCTCCATCGCAGCTTTAGCAGCGGCCGCTTTGGCCTTCCTGGTCTTCAGGCACTCGGCGTGGTTCATTTGATCTCTGTCTGGCGGAGGACCTGCAAAAGATAACAAAGGATTAGAAGACGAGCGGAGATAGAATAAGACACTCACCTCGAAGGACAGGACCGCCCGGTGCCCCGAGACGAGCGTCGAAGGGTAGAAAAAGCCCAGGGACACGGACGGTACCTATGCCTGCCCCAGAGAGTGCCTCGAAGGTCAGAAATCCGGCTATAGGACGGACGCCACCCTCCAACACCTTCTCCGCATCCAGGAGCAGATCGTCGGACGGCTCCGGTGACTCAATCTTTGGAGGGTACCCATTCCACCGGAGAGGGAGAGGAGGCCCGTCGTATCGAAGGAAGAAAAAACGGTTCTTCCAGTCGTGGATGGACGAAGGGTAGTTCTTGAACAGCCGCCTCCCAGGACGTGCGGCCACACTCAGATACCCGTCGGCGTTCTGAGGAGTGACGCGGTAGAAATAATGGAAGAGCTCCAGGGTGGCATCGACCCCCGCAAGTTTGCAGCGCACCAAGAATGCCGATATGAATCTGTAAGAATTTGGCATGAATTGCGCCGGGGCCACCTGGAAGCAGTGGAAGAACTCCACATAGAACGCGTGCAGTGGAAACCGCAGCCCGGCTTCAACGGAGTCCAGGTGAAGCATGATCATCCCCGGACGTCTCCTCATCACATGCTCAGCACCTCTCACACTCCAGACGAACGGCGGGGGGAGGAAGGTACGGATTTTATTGAGGGCCACGCGGGAGAGGACTTGGTCATGGTCAAGTGCACTCCTGATCGGGCAGATGTGGCGCTCCCTATCCGTGGGGATGCCCAGATCATACACCTCCACATCAGAACCAGATTCGGCTTCCTCTCCGGAATCATAGTCAGCAGGACGCTCATTCAGGGGGACTGCGTCAATAACATCTACTGCCCCGTCAGCGCCCCCGCCCCCGGCGTCGCTCCCGCTATCTTGGGACACGTCATCCGGCTCGCCATCAGCCCGGATGGTCCCCACGGTCGTGGCCGAACCCGAGGTTCCGGAGACGCTAGTTTTTCCCAGGGAGCGTGCATTCGCATTGTCAGAAGAGGAGCCCGAGGAGGAACCCGATGAACTGGAATCAGAACTTGAGGAAATCTCCATCGAAGTCATTTCGGCTAGAAATCAGAGTAAAGGAAAGAAGCAGAGGGGGGAAATTACCTTACAAAGGTATGGTTGGCCGAATTCGGAAAACTTGAAGAGCTGCGGAAAATTGAGGGTAAGAGAGCAGAAATTGGGAACCCTAAGTTAGAGGGAAAACCCGGCATTTATAGGAGAAACACCGATGGAGAAACCAACGAGGGGATGACACGTGGCAAGGAGCGTATTCCGGCCCACGCGCTGAGCGTGGGATGGGAACGTAATGATGACGCTTCCTCGGGAAAATGCGCCGCCGCAACATCAGCCGTCACCTCGTTTCCTGAACCGTCAACAGCTGTCAAGCACCATGACCACGAACGTATGCTTCCACCAGGTGCAATAAAAACAAGTACCACGACACGGACGTCTACTTCGGAGAGGTTCATACTTCCTTATGTCCTGTGCATGCTCAGAACATCAGAAGTGGGGGACTTGTGTTGGGTTAAGGGCCCAAGCCGAGGTCCGGCCCACTAACCCATTTCGCTAGACGAACGTCCAGCTAGAACACTAGGCCAGCCCACAGGCCCATATTCCACGGGGATGGACGAACGTCTAGTGTTGGAGGACTCAGGCCCAGCAGCTCATCCCGACGAACGTTTATGCAGGGACAAGGAGCAGAACCACGGGCCACCAGGAATGACGACGAACGTCCACAGAGCAAGCCTGTAGTCATCGGAGAAAACCCAGTCCACATGGTGAGTATCCACCAAGGCCAGGAGACGAACAGCCGATATCCCTCATAGGTCCTTTGGAGCAATCCAACTCACTTCCCGGTGGACGAACGTCCCCACTGATCTGGCGGGAAACCTAGATTCTGGCGGGAAGTGCATTTAATGCTAAAGATTTGGTAGTTGGGACACCAGCGGTCCACAGGCTGCCACGTCACTACAGCCACCTGCCCATTGGCGGGTATAAATAGAAGCATTTATTCCATTGTAAAGGGTTGGCAACTTTCTATTCTTAGCATACTAGCTTCAGCACTCTTACTCGCAGCATTTCTAACTGCCTTGTAAGACGAACGGCCGACGTGCCTTTGTTAGCAAGTGGATTGTACTTAGGGGAGTTATTACGAAGTTAATAATACCTATTTACATTGCCTGCTATTACTCTTGTTTCCTGATTCATCTAATAGTTGTTGGGCTAGATAACCATACATCCACTCCATTCGAAACCTTTGGGCTTACGTGTTGGGTCCACGGGTTGAAGGAATAAACCTCAACAATGCCTAAAATATGTTATAATACAGAAATAAAACAAATAAGTTAGAAATTTGATTGGAAAAAGAAAAAACCGGGACATTAATAATATGTTTTATAATATTTATATTCTACATTTTCATAATAATTGAATTATAAAATTAAAATTCATAATTGAAAAAAAAACGAAAGAGAACAAACATTTAAAAAGCAACAAAAAGAAAGGAGCAAAAAAGGGAGAACAAAGTCAACAAGCCTTAGCAACGATCGGCGGATTCGGCGCCCAGTATTTGTTGTGTCAAAACAAAAGGTGAAGTACTTGTCTGCGGAAACCTCCTCAGCGATCAGCACCCAGAGGAAAAAAGATTGATCACTAAGATATGTATTACCCTCAAAGTTGAAACGAATCACAAAAAAAACCCGGCTGTACCATGCTCTAGGTACAGCCGGCTGTATAGTGGAATTTGCCGGAACAGTGTAAAAAATCTCTAAATTACTGTATAATTATACATCTGCCAATTATTATTAGGAAAAATTGATAGTAATAATCCCAACTATTGGCGGTCCGCACATAATAATCCCAACTATTGATTATTACAGAATAATCCCAACTTTAGGGACCTTCCGCCAATAATGGTCCCTATGAATAAATTCTTGTAGTTTCTAAAGTGGATGAGATGAGATATAACAAGTAATCCCTATAAATAATCTCAACTTTTAATTTTTACGCTTAATTTCTATTTAAAATTCACTTTTTATAGAGGTAATATATGGTCATGGACCATTATTGGCGGATAGTCTATATAGTTGGGATTATACAAAAATAATCAATAGTTGGGATTATTTTCAGCGGACCAGCAATAATTGGGATTATTATTTTCAATTTTTCGTTATTATTATTAATTAATAAAATAGATTATTTTGACGTTTTATGAATTAGACAATTATTATACGAGTATATATTCTCTGTCTCTATTCATTCCGTCGTTCATTTGGGATTTTTGTGTTTTTGGCGTTCCTTTTAACCTCTCAAATACGCCGGCAATTCCCCGACTCAAAAGAGGGTGGGGACTTGATGTTCTTCGCCTCTTCTCTAAGCTTTGTAAGGTAAGCGTTTTTGTTGCTAGTTATTAATTAATCTCTATAATCGCGATGCTTTAATTACGTGCTTCCTCTGAATATGACATCTCTGCCTCCAAGTTACGATTTTTATTTTTTGTAGAATCTCTATAGCTACTAGTTTGATTAGATTTTCTTTCATATGTGTCTCGGTTTTTTAAGATAGATTTTTCATTTATGACAGAATTCTGTGCGGTAATCTGGATTGGGGTCTTGTGTATGTGGAAGAGTTCATAGCTCTCTGATTTGTTATAGATTTGGGTTCAAATTGGGGTTGGAACATTTCAATATAGGGTTGTGAGATTCATTTTGTTGAATTATTTCAATTGGTGGGGTTCAAATCCAACCAGAGGCACGCCAATATAGTCTGTCAGACAGACTATTGTGTTATGTATTCCCACAATTTACATCCACCTTTACAGGCGGAGGTGAAACTGCCCATGGACTTGGGTTTGACTTGACTCATGTACATCATGGCCCGATTGTGTGCACCTGACCCAATAATAAGAACTGCCAGTTTTTTTGGGTCTCAAATTCTAGATCCTTATTTGACTGATCTTCTGGACTGTGTTCTGTGTAGAATCTGAAGATATTGTACACATTGTGTGGAAATGCCCTCCCCGGAAAACCCGGGCTCTTCCTCCCGCCTTCCTTTTGGTTCTTTTCGCCGTGCAATTTTCTCCATCAGGCCTGATCAGGTCCATTCGCTAGAAACAGACCGGGAATCTAGTATTGACTCGGGGTCCACAGCGTCTTTTCAAACATTAGTATCAGACCGGTTTGCTGATCTCTCTGTGGCCAATGATGATGAATTCCTTTCACTTTCATGGATTAGAAAGTTACTGGATGCGTTCGGTGATTGCCAGGATGCGTTCCGTGCTACCCTTTCAAACAGCAAAGAGTTACTCTCCAAACCGCCTCAAGATAAGATTCTGTCTGACTTCTTCGACACGAGCATTAAGGCGTTAGATATTTGCAACGCAGTCCGAGATGGGATCCAAAAGGTTAGGGTATGGCAAAGGCATTTGGAGATTGTGGTTTCCGCACTGGATCCCACCCAACAACAAAGAATGATCGGGGAGGGGCACTTCCGTCGTGCAAGAAAAGCCCTAACGGATTTGACCCTCGCAATGTTTGTAGTAGATGAAAAGGATACTGCTTCGGTCTTTTCAAACCGAAATCGTTCTTTCGGGCAACCAAATAGGACAAAAGACCATCCACACCCTTCACCAAGGCACACGAGGTCTTTGTCTTGGAGTGTCTCGCCTTTGTGGTCCGCATCCAAACAGCTCCAACTAATCGTAAATAATTTGATCCTCCCAAATGCCACCTCTGATAATAATGGTCTGGCAACGCTGATATTCACAATGAACCATGTTCTCCTGTGCGTCCTGTGGGTCATTGTTGCTGCTATCCCATGCCAAGACCGCAGCGGGACCCAAATCAACGTCACTGTCCCTGTTCAATTCCTTTGGGGCCGTTCGCTCCAGACTATACATTCCAGGATAACAGATGCGTCCAAGAAGCGGGACCGGAGAAACCTTAACGGGCTGCTGAAGGAAACAAGTCGAGTTGAAAAGGAAGCCCATGAGCTGTTGGAATTAATAGATTCTGGGGAGCGTAGAGACGAAGCCATTAGAAGAGCAGATGCGCTTTCACAGCTTTGTAAAGCTTACCAGATGGAACTAGGGCCGCTGGAACGCCAATTGAGGGATGTCTTTACAAAAATCAGGATGTGTCGTGCCCAGGGTCTCGAAATGTTGGGCAAGGCGAGACAATGAATGACAAGCCTTTATTTGTGGAATATATATATACATTGTCACACTCTTATATTTCTTTCCCTTTTGCAAAACTGTGTGTGAAGAAGGAAGCCTTAACATTCTGCACTTACATGCTGCCGTATGTATAACTATGTTGATGTTTTGAGATTGGAGTGGGGAGGGAAGTAATCAATTCTGATGCAACTTATGATGCATTTGGGCATTTAGTACCAGTTAAATGGGGAGCTGAATGCCACAACCCCATGCTTTCCTCTTCTTTCTAAGCCGTCGAGTATCAATGAAGCATTAATTAATTATTCAATAATTAATACTCCGTAACAATCAACGAGCAACTAAAAATCTAATTAACAATTCTAAGTTATAAATAATACTCCTTACAACACTGAGGATAAAGACAACTATATAAATATAATTATTAGAAAACATTAAAACATAAACATGCAAAATTAATTAAGAGACATAATATAATAAAATTAGAAGAATGAAATGTTCTAATTTTAAAATGTAAAGTAGGGTATTGCATTATATTCAAACGTGATGAACTTAACCCACTACAAATATTGTATAAAGTACTCCCTGCGTCCCAAAAAATTGTTCCACTTTCCCCTTTTAGAAAGTTTTTTGTGGCTACAATTCATTTACATTTTTCTTACTCAACCACAACCATACATTTCCATTTTATTCCAATTTTCTTAAAATCCGTTCCAAGTCAATGCGGGAACAATTTTTTGGGACGGAGGGAGTACAATGATATAAATATTAACACCATAAAACTTGGAAGTTGACTTGCAGGTACGTGGAATAATAAAGTAAAATTTTTGTGATATAGATTTGCGTAGAGGAGTAAAAATAATGTCAATCATATATTTATTACTTTAAATGGAAATGACATTTGGAATGACTAAATAAATAAAGTTATAAAAATTATGCGGGGTGGGGGAATAATTGTTATCGATAATCAATTGCAAAGTAAAATAAAAAAGATTGCATTCATTTAATTCTACTATATCTATACATTAGTAAGTAAGTAATCTTTTAAGAATTTAATTGTTATTAGATCCATGCAAATAAACATATGAGTAATATAAAAAAACATATGATTGTACTAAATACAATTCAACCATAATTGAACCAGACATTATTTTTTTTAAAAAGACGATTTTATTCATAAAATAAAAAGTACAGTGCAAGAAGGTAAATAAAAGAAAAGGTACAGAAGAGAAAAGCCAAGAAAAGGTAAGACAACAATTAGACCCAAGGGAAATCTCTGGACTGAGATCTAGTCCTCATACTGTGGCACCTTTTATTCTTCTGAGATTTCCTGTAGATCTTGAGTTGTGTGTTGGTTGTCTGTTGGCAGACAGTTCTCGGAGGTAACGAATTTTGATTTTCGGCAAATCGATATGTTGAATTTGGAGTTTCTAATTTCTTCCTAGTTTGATATTATAAGGCAAAAAAAACAATCTATAGCAATACATTTTTAATTTTTTCTGTACTTTCTCTTTTTCATATAGTATATGTTCTGTTAAATGCCAACATTCTTGATTGGGATGAGTTTCGAACATGTGACCTTCTCCTTGGAAGTGTCGCACTGACGCCATCGAATCACAAGGTGCTTGGCTTTAAAAAAATATTATAAACAGGTGAATGTTACCATTTACAATGTACCATGTACAATGCATATATTGGTCATATCATTATTTATCATTTATTTATGTTTAAACCACGTAATTGTTTATCATTTCTAAATTCTAATTGCACCTTCTTGGCAATATACAATATCTTAGAGGTACTATAGAACTTGTCTTATGAAATGGAGATATTTGAAGAACCTGCGTTCTTATAACATTATTGTGAGAAAATTTGATAGTGAAAATTTTAAGAAGGATATTTTTTAAAGTAAAAATAATATATACTCCCCACATACATACATAAATGAAAAAGGGGAAATATAAGTTCACATCTTATTAAGTAATAATATGAGTAGACCCGTTTATGGAAAATAGTATGATTAATATATACTAATTCTTTATTATATAGATAAATTTTAATCCCACGATTTATATTTATATTAATCTTTATATATAGTCCTTATAGCGCATGTGGCAAGATGTATGAAAGAGATACTACCTCCGTCCCTCTAACATTGAGACAAAAGGGAGTTTGCGATTATTATGAAAAGACGAGTTATGTGGTTGTTATCGAATTGGTAAACTGCAGATAAACTAAAATGCATTAAAACTACACAAATAATACCATAAACTAATAATGCATTAAAACTACACAAATATTACCAAATACCCCGTATATAATACTCCGTAAGCAAATTGCATATCTTTTTGAACTGAATTCGTGAGTTCCTCCATAACTATAAAAAATAAGAATGACCTTAGAGCTGGTCCTTGATGCACTCTGATAGTAATAACTAATACGAAACTCCACTCTTTCTTACACTAGTACGAACACGTGTAGTTGAGGAAGCGGTCCAGCCCAGCTGATCGCCGACTCACTCTCCCTTATAGGAGGTCCCGGGTTCAATTCTCAATGGAGTGAGATTGATCCCAGTTTACCCCAGGCCACCCAAACCCCCCTCCCCTTGACTCCTCCTGGGGTAAAAAAAACGAACACTTCTAGTACAATTCTCATACATATCCATGATGATGTTGATATACTTACGTGATATCCCTTTATAGATCAGTTAAGGACCATCATAGCACTTCTAGATGTACCCAATCTTTTGTTCGTGTCTCCACAATTCCGCACAAGATACCAAAAAAGGTGAATGCCTCGGTCGTTGAGCGACTGGGCATAAAATCGAATTGATTCTCCAAAATTGTCACACTTCTTGAGAGCCTTTTCTCAAACACTTGCTCCCAAAGTTCCATGGTGTGATTCATAAGTGTAGTCCATCAATAGTGGGCACATTCATGTACATCACTCGTATTGTTAAATAAAAGGAATAAAAGTACTTATGTATCGGAGTATATGACCCAGAACCCCTGATCCACATATTTGCACTAAACTGTGGTAGGCCCAATGGCCCATGAAAGGCCCAACAAGTAACTGCCATGAACCATGAGCCACAACAACTCGCAGAATGGAATATGATTCCAGTTGCAAGAGCTAATTAACAATATGTTTGATATGTATAAGAGTTAATAATTCAACAACGTAAGGCAATATTATTATTATTATTCCTGAGGCAGATCCCTTAGAGGTTATTTACAAGAAGTGTTTATAGGCATAGAACTGCAGTACAACTAAGAGACAGAACTGGCACATTCAATAGTTTTAATCATAAGAGAATTCTAGTAACGTCTCTGTTTTAACTCCCATAATTAATGTCTCCTTAATTCCCACATTATTTCAAGTATCTCCTACCGCTGCCAGACCCATTTGACTTTATTTACTAATCCCGTGTTTTGGGCTATCCATCGTTCTTCCCTTGTATTGCTCTGATGTTGACTTATTGGGGTATGGGTTGAGTCCATAGTACCATCACGAACCCTGTACTTTCTTAAATAAGCCGAGCTTGATTATAGAGAGTCATTAGTTCATCTTTTCCCTTTTAAATTTTCTCTAAAGTGGGAGCGGCACATCCATTTAATGTCTGCCTAAGACTTCAAAGGTACGCAATTAATGTGTGCCCTAGAATTCACACAACTTCCAGATCTGTCTTACCGGCTTATGCATTCGAGTATCTTGATCACAGTTCCCTAGCAGTACTTTCTACCGTGCATCTATCCTTTACAAATAAGGCCTATTCACTTACAGCAAACCTTATGCTAATTCTCTCCCGCATTTGGACCTGTATTATCTGTCGCTAACCCTAGGCGCATTGGGACATTAATGAGTAAAACTCTTCCAGTCCCATTTACCTTCCCCAGGTCAGTTTCATGCCTTCCTTAGAACCTATTCCCATATGTCTCATCTATCCCGACGATGAGGGGTCAGGCTCCAACCGGCCCTAGATCCGCGTAGATTCCCATGGGTAGAAACCCATTTCTATTTATCATCTCACTTTGCTCGGGGTGCCTCAGTGGCTTTATCAGAATCGGGGTTCGAGACGTCAGCTCGCCTAGCTGGCCCAAACGTTGTTTGTTCTCACCCTACTCCAGGGCATGATATAGGGGAGCCTCCTTCCCCTTCGCATTTCGGAGTCCATCTCGCTACTTTGGAGATGGGTCTTCGCTCCCCCTGCATCGTGCTTTCCTTGATATTATCATTCATTACGGGGTAATCCCGGGTCAACTTACCCCCACCGCACATTTGTTTAGGATGTTTTCTTTTAGATTGTTTTTCAGTCCCAGACCAAACCAGACCAGTTCAGACCAGACCAGCAAATTTCAGTCCAAAAGAAAACGTCCAGATTCGGGTTCATAGCCCAATGCATTACTTTACAAATTCGTCCCTTTCTAGATTTGTTCTTGCATTTCTGTCGTTCGGTGAGAGCCAACACCTCCGAGACCCAGGGGTATTTTTCAATTTCCCAACAGGCAAACCTCTGCCAATTTGCTGCTAAATCATACCCCGACTCCCATAAGAATTGGAATTACAAGGTCATGTGGGTCTCCCTGATGAAAGGTGATCTTCCGTTTGAGAACAAGTGGGGACAGTTAATTCTGAGTAAGGAGAATGAGCACGCCACCAAACTTATCGCTAATGGTGCCCTTTTCCTGATGGGCCATTACATAGGTGAGGATGGTGTGGTCATCCTAGAATATCTCTTAGGTCGGTTATTTCAAATTTATATTTTGAACTAATTCTGCTGGTATTTCATAGAGGGTGAGAAAATGGTGTCCCCATTACGAAGGCTCTCTGTCAGGGCTGGCAGTACCTCGGGCTCCCTGGCTCCAGGCAGGAGAGTGCAGATAAGGGGAATATGTGAAAGCTCAGCCCCGTAGAAACTGAGTGGGGCCAATCCAGCTAAAACCCTGAGGGGAACGAGCACGCCACCAAACTTATCGCTAATGGTGCCCTTTTCCTGATGAGCCACGCAGGATGAGACTATGTCTCTTTTGCCAATCCGGCTAAAACCCTCAACCTCCCACTATTAGGAGGCCGGGAAGAGGTCGACACCTTAGTCCATCCTCGCTCCCCGGCTGCCGGTGAAAGTGACCCATTCTGCTCTTATGTTGACCTAGGGGAGGATCTGTGTACGGGCTATGGTAGGCTGAAACCCAAGGCAACTTAGAATTTTTTAAATTTTTTAGTGTAACTTTTTTCACTTAACATTTAGCTCACCCCGCTAATATTGAAGCCTAATATAATTCCTATTTAGCCTAGAACATCTAGAAGGTTGGTGGAG